ACAAGCACCAGAAGAACACTTCCAGATAACCAGATGTGCAATCATACAGCAGATTAAAGATGAATTGGTAACATCCAAATACAAGGAATAATAGTTGTCAAAAATTCACAGTAGAACATAACAAATTCAAAATGTGAATGCAAGTATTCCCAGAATTGCAAGAATTATATGCACTAAAAGATGAACAGAAACCCACCTGCAATTGTCTGACCAATGGCTCCAAAGGAACCCACTTTTGGACCCACTTAAACGGTGGATAACACAAAGCTTGCAGCGCCTGCAAACCGTGCCAAATAAAAGGACATCTAGCTTTGCTCAGCCTTCGTACAACCTCTAAAACAGCAGTGGTAGCCAAGAATATGACAACATCACCAGCAGTTCCACTAGTCTGTACACTCTGTTTCACTTTACTAATACATTTCAAAGTCTTTGCTGAGAAGTGCTTTGTAGCAGAGGCAACTAAACAAATCTTCGGTAGCTTTTCCTTGCTAATCATCCGCGCCTCCAATCTTTTGTTAGAATATGGTGGACATGGTAAGTCACCCATATTGATGACCTCATAAATCTCACTCACAGCTTTGCATCAACAAAAGAAAAAAATCGTGGAAAATTAGAACATAGACCAATTTGCCACCCACCTATTGGATTATTGTGTAATCAATTCATATATATCAGGCAGACATAACAAAACCACCACCGAATGAATATTAACCAGATTTTAAAAACTTGCTAAGTATGACGATAAACTATGAAGAAACTGCCAATATAAAACAAAATATAGCAATAACCAGGATCAGTTATGGTATCTTTATGGATGACAATGAACTCATAATTTCTAAATTAAGCTCATGTTTGGCCATATATTTGAAGATAAAATTTGGAACTTCAAAATTTGAGTTTTTGAAATTGTACTTGGACATGCAATTTACTTGGAAAAGATATAAGTTTTGTTAGTGAAAGTCCCAAAAATCTTTTTAACTTCTCAAAAACTACTCCCAAAATCAATGGGAAATCGCTAGCTAAATCTATTCAGTCACGAAATTACTCTAATATTCACCAATCACTGTGATTGCAAGCAAATTTCTCTACAAGGATTCACGAATTATGCAGCTAAAACGCCCAAAAATGAAACCATAATCATCTAAAACAAATATTTGAAGTTAAATTTTCAAAAACTACTCCCAAAATCTACGAGCAAAAGCTAGCTAAATCTATTAAGTCACGAATTTTTTCTAATATTCACCAATCACTATAATGGCAAGCGAATTTCTGGATTCACAAATTATACAGCTTAATCACCTAAAAATGAAACCATAATCATCTAGAACAGATATTCGACGTTAGATTTTCAGAAACTACTCCCAAAATCTATGGTCAAGTGCTAGCGAGATCTATTTAGTCGTGAATTTCTTCTACTATTCACCACTCACATTGCTTGCAAGCAAATTTCGTTACAAGTTATCACAAATTATGCAGCTTGAATGCCTACAAATTAAACCATAATCATCTAAAACAGATATTTGAAGTTAAAATATACAAAAATTTCTCCCAAAAGCTAGCTAAATCAATTTAGTCACGAATTTCTTCTTCCTATATTCTATAATCACTATAATTGCAAGGGAATTTCTCAACAAGGATTCACAAATTATGCAGCTAAACCGACTAAAAATGAAACCATAATCATCTAAAACAGACCGAGCAAATGAGAACAGGACAGACGAACACATCGATATTAATATCAAATTAATCAAATACGAACACATTAATTACTACATATTTTCTCGATTAACATGTGGATGTTCAGTCAATTACCTGAAAACAAAATCGGATTTCGTACCGTATATATTACCCGGTAGAATTAACGGCGACTGTTCACCGGAAACTTAGGTTGAGTGTTGATATTCAGGGAGAAGTCGCTAACGACGGGAAGAATATGGCGGAGTACGGCGGAGGTTGACCGTGAAGGAAGGTTTATACTTTGCTTGGGCAAATGGCGCGTGATCTTCACTCTCCTATCGTCGTCTGGTTTCCCCTAGAAGATATAGATATTGGGTCCCACCTGATACTGAATCACGTTTTAGTTTTTTCTATTAGATTAGATTGCCACGTTGACACGTCGGGCCCTGCTAGATCACATGATTGATATTCATATTAAAATTCGATTAATTTCGATTTGTCAATTGCGTCATTCATTAGTGCGATATATATTTTTCAGTTTCTAAAATTACTTTTGTATTATATTTAATTCGTCAATACATATATCTTGAATATATTCAGTCAAATTAAGTGTAATTATATCTAACACACTCTATTCAAATGTAATTCACAAGTATTTGATATACATTAATGTATATGACATTAAAGATAGTGGTGTGAAAAATGATAGAAAATTACTAATTAGTGCGATAATGTATAATTAATTCCAATTATAAAGTTGATTAGTATATATGTAAGTAATGTTTGTGTGCTTATCCTAATATTTTTCCATGTTCGAAGTTTAAATTCGAAAGTTTGATTAAAATATAGAAATCTCAATCATTCTAACAAAAATCATATTGATTGTTGTACAACTGCTTTCTTCATTCACTTTTACTTTTTCACTATAGATTTTAAATGCTCTGAAGAAATAAAGAGAAAGATTTTTTACGTGTCACAATAATTTTTGACAAAATATTTAAATTTTTGAGAGAAGTTGTAAACAAGCACGAGTGAGTCACTTTCTTTTTTTTATTTCACAAGTATTATTTTAAAAATAACTATCGTAAGATATTTTATTTTTTCCCAATATGAAATTCCTTGAATTAACAAATTCAAATTCGTATTTTATGAAAGATTAAAACAAGTAAAAAGCTCTAGGAAAGTTAGAAGGTGTAGTAGTTTAGTTTAGAAAATATGTAACTAGTTATTTGTTTCTTTTTAGTTGTTAGGTTCGAAATGATCAATATCTATAATAATTTTTTTATTTCTTCGTAAGAAATCGCTTTATTTTTTAAGCTTAAATATGATACATTTTATATTAATAATAAACGAATTTCATCAATTTCTAGAGTGTTCCTTTAAGATTTTCGCTTCATTTGTCTCAAATTAATTAAAATGCTTCCATTATATTAAGATAAGGAATTTCAAAATAGTATTTGTTTGGTTATAAATAGAAAGCTTGTAGGGCCATAAATTATGCTTTGATTATTTAATATTAAATAAATTGTCGTAAAGAAAGTATTAATTTACTTAGATTTATGAATTTATAAATTTATAATATGCTATTGCGCTTGATTTGGTTCACTATTATAATAGCTCTACATATAATTTTTCATTATTTTCAAGTACTTTATTGAGAAGAAAAAAGTGAATTGATTTTTTTTTCTTTATATGCCAAGATATTTTTGCTAAAATGGGACCAAATCAACTAAGAATAAATCATTCAATGTTTAGCTAAATTTTTATTTTATAAAAAAAGTTCAACTAAGTTCAATGTATATATTCGATAAAATCGAACAAATTCAAAGTATCATATAGCATATCATTGCTATCTAACGTAACCATGAAGCTAAACATCATTATCTCATTGAGGAATAAGAAACTCGCTTCAACGATTTGATTCGATTAATTTGAATTCACATGATAACGTCTGATTTCAAGAATAAAACACTTTTTACTAAAGATAATTATATTATCACGATTCGTATTTGAAACCTTCAGCTAAAAATAAAAGAATGTTTATCATCTCAATAGAACATTTCATCGTTCAAAATTCATATTTAAGATGATAGTTTCACAAAATAGACGTTAGCATTTCGCGGTGTTTCAATTATTAAACCTCATAATATTGTATAATCCAATAAATGGAGTCAAAAGAAGATAAAGTATACATAGACTATATCCTACCTTTGCGAAAAATACGACAACATAATAACAAAATACAAAGCAACTAAAACAAAAAAAATAGAAACTATATCATGTTTAAACTATTATTGAATAATTAGTTAGGTAAAAGGTGATAATTCGATATATAACTTAAAAAAAAAAATTATATTAATGTATTTTAGAGATTTAATATGCTTAGTCAGATACGATACAAGACTATAATAAAAATTTATGAGTAAAGTTTACAACATAGTGATGAATGAATATTACATATGAAAACGAGACCCGTTAAGTACGAAACATACAACCCGAAAACCCGATAATAAAGAAGAAAAACTCAAGAACATAAATCCGGCGAATCCTAAGGCCACGGAGATATCTGATTGAACACAAAATGCATTATTAGCCGTACACGTGTCCCTGTCCTTTAACGTCCGAGCTAACGCTGTTCCCGCCGAATCTGCCGATAACAACATGTATGCAAAAACCTACACAATAAAATAACGTCTATTTTTTCACACTATGTCTCTAATATTCCGTACAAATCATTTTCACGTTCACATAGAATACGTAAAGAAAACTGCGAGGAGGTGTGATTCACACTATGTCTCCAACATTCGGTACGAATCATTTCATGTTCACATAGAATTCGTGAAAGAAAACTACGAGGAGGTGTGATTCATGTAGCTAGAGGAGGTGTGATTCACACTATGTCTCCAACATTCTGTACAAATCATTTCATATTCATATAGAATTCGTGAAAGAAAACTACGAGAAGGTGTGATTCATGTTCATATTGAAAATTTTGCCTCTGCCTCCGCCTCTCCATGTAGCTTACCGAAATACAAATGTAATCGACTCATTTCACAAAAAACTTAAATCAAGGTGTGTTAGAATTGAAAGTTATTAGATTTTAAATTAACTTGTACATAATTCTGTAATATATAAAAATAAATATACGATTTGAACTGAAATTATTGAATTCTGTCGAACCTGATCGTGACTGAAATCGAACCAAACTTGTACAATTTCAGGAAGAACAGTGGTGCCTCTTGATATTTCCCAAACCGAAGCTCCAATTTCGAATAGTGAATACAACGCTACAATCCCAGCTGCAATAGCCACAAATCTATCCAAAAACAAAATCTCATTATAGACTTCAAAAAAAAAATAATCGATTTAATCGTTTGAAATTGAGACGTAATTAATTGTACATTCATAATTAAAATTATCATGATTCGAATCTATTGATATGTATTATCTGCTTTAACTTACGATCCCATAAATTTATTTTTTCAACCACGCAAATTGAGCTATGCTTTATAAGAATCAACTTAAATAATTTAATTTAACAAACTTATAATAGTCGATAAATATAATATATATATATATATATATATATATATATATATATATATATATAATCGTATATATAAGCTATAAAAACTTCGTATCCTTAGAAATTTGTTAGTCCTGCTTTGACTCATCCTCGTCGAGATGAGATAAGTGAAGGGAGAAGAAGGAATCGAAGAAATTTCATCTAAAATTCTCAAATTAAGGTAGTTTTATCAGCTAATTGAATTTTGCAAATATGTTTAATTTAGTTCAATTTGATACTTTTTTTTTTTAGAAAATAGAAAGAGCTAATAGTAGTAGTACCTGAACGCATCGAAGTGGTACCACCGAAGAGAATCGGAATCGGAATCAGAGCCACCGCCGTGAGAGTTAGCGAACATGAAAATTGCAGAGGCGAGTGAGAAGCAGAAGGCGGCGAACCGGAAAATGAGTATCAAAATGTTGAACCGCCGGTTTTTTTGAACGGAAACGGTTGAGTGAAACTGAGATTGATTTCTCGACCGGGGAGACGGAGTTCTAATACCGCCGTTCCGGTTCGGTTCCTGCGGCGACCTCAACATTTTTTCCGGCGAGAAATTCAGACGGAGATGAAGAAATTCATAGATAAATTAAACTTTAGTGAATTTATTACTAATTTTCTGAAAATTTTGATTTCATGTGTGAAGAGATTTTTTTTCTGTTTGGGGCTTTGAAGTCACGAGACATGGCATGATTCTCATGACAAGGATAAATGATAAAATGGAGCAAGAGAACATGTCATTTCTCGATCGAAGCTCGATTAATTTAAATTTATGTAATAGACACTCGTTATTAATTTTGATTTAAGCATTATAAGTATTCATTGAAGCTCGACTAATATAAACTTGAGTATTGTAAGGATTTATTTCTAGAAAAAATGCTCACAATTAAAAAAATTTCGAACTCAAACTCTCACACTCAAACTATTCAATTAAAAATAACGAAACACGATTAGAATTGTTATATCAGAATTTAATGTATGTTATATTTGAATTAAATTACTTTTGCCCTAAAAAATATAGTGAAATGATTGGATTGGTTTCGGATCGAGAGAATGAAATAAATTTTGAATGATAAATTATTATGCAACAAAAATAAAAATGAGAAGGCATAGCTAATTTCAAGAAATATGTAATATTTGATATATATCTCATCGATTTATACGATATTAACATTATTAAAATCTTCACGTATCACCTTCGTATTCTACTACTATGTTGTTTGACATGCCCTTCTAGAAAAGTTCGAGCCTTAAAAATTAAATAATTTACGATAATTTTTTTACTTAATTTAATTAAAATTAATCAAATCAATAAAATTCGAATATTTAATCGAAAAGAAAGCATAGAAAAAGACAGTTCAATATTAGGTAGAAACGAATGGGAACAAGTGGGGTTATAAGTGTACTTTTCGTGCTTCTTTCTTTCTTCTTTATATACTCTTTTTTATTTGACTATATTTATTTAAAGTCGTTTATATTCGATAAAATTTATTCATATCAGATATTTATATTATATTGATATAGATGTTTGATACAAGAAAGTATAAGTATATATCCTCGTAAATCTCACGTGATATTTAGTACTTCTATTTTAATATATGCTCAAAGGGATAGAGTACGAAAGTTGAAACACGTCATTTCGTTTATGAATTAATGTATAATGTTACTTATTCGAAAGCTATATATACTAAACGAATCAAAATATTTAAAACGATGTTTAAAAAAAATTATGAGTAATTGCATGAAAAAACATTTAACTTTTCAAATAGTAATAATTTTCGTAATGAGATAGAGGAAATATTTATTTTGAGATCTGGATAATTTATATTAGTGTTAAAATATTCTACTTTTAAATAGCAAAAGGTGAAAAAATAATTTGATTTTCATGCTCAAACTCGAGATCTCTGATTTGTTGATCGGATTGTAAATTTATAATATTTTTGATGAATTTCTTTAAAATTAAAGTTGTTAGACGCTCCTTTCATATTTTGGGATTTCCATATGAAATGGTTATATAATAATTGCGTTTATCCTTTTTCTTTTTCTATATATAATAATAATAATATTTCTGCCTTTCAATTATAATATTTTATTTACTAGTTTAATCACGTAATATAAATTTAAATTAATTGAAATTATAATATAAGTAGCAGACATAAGATAAAGACTCACTACCTACATTACTACATTTATCGTTTCTTATTTTTATTTTGGCTTTTAATGAATTTTTTTAGAATACTTATTTTTTTTTTCTATTTGAAAAAAGCTCCTTAAATTTGGTAATTGTCAATAGAGAAAATTTAAAGAATATGAAAAATAATTCATTGACTAAACTATTAAATTGTCAAATAAAAAAATAATAAAAGTCAGTCAAGTCTTCCAATTTCCAAGCAAAAAGGAATGATTTTTAATACTTGAAAAGACATTTTTTTATTTTTAAAAAAAAATAATAATTTGTTGATGTTAAATTTTTTATTTAGAAAAAAAAAAGAGATCATTATTATTTGTTTGTTTAGCATGACAATATTGACAAATAAAAAATGATCAATTATATTAGGGTATAAAAAAAAAAAAGATGGTCCGTAAATATCGAACCACAAGAATCTATTATAATCTCTATTTCAAAATTGAGAATACCCTCTTATTAAACTAATATATAAGAATCTAGCTAAACACTACTAAAAAAGAAAATCGAGTTGTTTTTCTACCATCTGAGCAACGACCTCTTGTCCATATCGAAAATTCTTTCTATTTTTTGTTATTTTATGTATTGACTTACATAGTAACAACATATTCACTGTAAATGCACGAGCGATGCCTGAAAAGGGTAGTGTATATGTAGTCTTACCCTTACCTTGTGAAGGTAGAAAGACTTTTTCCGGATACACAAAATTAGAGTCGCAGACTAACAACAACATATCCAGTGTAATGTTGGAGACGAGTTTCCCATGGGAAACCCTTTACTAACAAGCCAAATTTTCAACAGCATACTCAGTGTAATTGCACAAAATGAGGTCTTGGAAGGATAGAGTATACACAAACCTTAATCTCTACCGCAGATGTAGAGAGACTGTTTCAGATACGCCCTCGGCTCGAGGGAAAACAATCTAAAGAAATCGAGAAGAAGAATAAACGGAATTGAAAGCATAACAAAACATTGTAACAAAGTCAAATTTTCAACAACATACTCAGTGTAATTGCACAAAATGAGGTCTTGGAAGGATAGAGTATACACAAACCTTATCTCTACCGCAGAGGTAGAGAGACTATTTCCAATACGCCCTCGGCTCGAGGGAAAACAATCTAAAGAAATCGAGAAGAAGAATAAACGGAAGTGAAAGCATAACAAAACATTGTAACAAAGTCAAATTTTCAACAACACACTCAGTGCAATTGCACAAAATGAGGTCTCGGAAGGATAGAGTATACACAAACCTTATCTCTACCGCAGAGGTAGGGAGACTGTTTCCGATACGCCCTCGGCTCGAGGGAAAACAATCTAAAGCAATTGAGAAGAAGAATAAACGGAAGTGAAAGCATAACAAAACATTGTAACAAAGACAAATTTTTCATGAAACAAATAATCAGTTCTCTAATAATAAGAAGAAAAGATTCATTTAGCTCATTTCTGAGATGTACAATCTCACTTAAATGGCAAGAACCTCAAAAACTAAGTTTTAACCCAAAAAAAAATGTAAACGACGATTGAACTTGCAAGACGAAAAGGCGTAATGATACAGAATGGTATGACCTTGACAGCGATTCTACATTTGTATCGATGATCAACAGCTGATGACGCGAAAGAAGTTTGTTTTACATCATTTCTTGAGACCGTCTTACACAACGACTAACCTTTTTCTTGAATTCATCTCTATTGTCTCTCCATTCCTTCTGCAATGTGCCAGAAAAAAAAGAAACGTGAAAAAGGCGTTGGAACAAAAGAAGAAAAACTAAATAACGGGCACATGCTGGCCATGGTCGTCTCTCCTGATATTAGTTTGAACACTCCAATCGCGATGGCACGAGAACTATCCATAAATTACATTGTAAAAGTCGATAAATTGGATTACTTACATATAGTATCTACCCTACCCCGACACCAGGAGGACGCAATGCACCCCAATTCAAAGGGAATAAGTGAAAAGAAGTCAATAAATTGGATTACTTACAGCTGCTTCGACATTAGCAGGAGACTCATCATTAGGACTTGAAAGCATTGATATGATGCTCAACATTATGCTCTCTACCTGCATATCATACAATCAGTCAAATTTGATAATCGAGAAGTCGAGTGCAGAAGGAAAAATACGACAAATGAACTTCAGCCGAACAATCACAAAAGAGAACACCATCCCATTCTCGAAAGTAAAGAGAAGTACAAACAAGGACGTTTTCTCGATCAAGATTTGGAACGGTGAATGTAAAGGAGAGATACATAAAAGGTAATAGTTGTCAAAGGCCATGAATTACATCGATTTGAACCACTAACACGAGGATTTTCAGTCCTTCGCTCTAGCTAGCTGAGCTACCTGAACCACTTTCCTAAGGTAAGTTTCATTCATCAAATAACGCCTGGATCGTTACCACGGCTCTCTTTTATAATTTGACACATAAAAACACAACCATTTAAAAGAGGGATCACCACAAGCTCATATAGATAGCCTAATTTATGAATTGTTTGGATCGGGTGAAAACCAACACCATAACCATTTTACTAAAGGAAGTGGGAACATTTAATTTACCAATAAAAAGTAAACGAAAACGTGAACATCCATTTCATGAATATTCGTAGGAAAGAAGACAATAACAGATTTCTATACCGTATGGACTGGAGACCAACGCTCACTAGCTAGCTCATAGCCATTTGGATCATCACCAGGGGGATGAAGGATTGAGATGCAAACCTTTCCATCAGAGTAAACTGCATATAAAACCAGAATTTCATGATAAAACGAAAATTAATGAGACGATGGTACAAAAGATCAATCACTTCACTAGTTCTCCGAAATATAGATGTAGTTTACGTACCGTTAGGATGCCAAATCTCCGAGGTAAATTTAACAGTTGGCGGACTGTTGGGATAATTTTGAGGAAAGCTCATGATAGCATTAAAGAAACCCCCGTCACTGCACTTGCAACACTCACACATGGTTAGGAATTTTACCCGTCTCAACCTATAGCATAAGTAAACATTGGAAATGACGAAATATTTAGTCTTAACTAGAGTCATCAACTTATACAACAAAAACTACCTAAAAGGAAATACGTATTTCAATTGCCAAGTTGCTAAGTCAACCAAGAATGAGCAATAGATTCAGTAATAAACAGTCGGGCTTGGTCACTCCGACCCCCTTTCTGAGGAGGCA